TGTTGCTGTAAAAACATTAAATATTTAAATATTGGTTCGATCTGGCAACAGCAACAAATCGATACATCAGTCTTGGTCTTACATCATTGTCTGATGGTGCTAAATAATAATAAAAATAATTAAATTAAGGAGTTCTTTGGAGCAAGGGCGTATGCCCGAAAAAGTAGTTTCGAGGGAATTTGAAAGTTCAAACGTGTGTAAATCTGGTGCTAGATCTGTTGGCATTTTATTATGAAACTTGGTTTGTTTGGGGGAACAAGTCTTCGAGAGTATACTTGCAAAAACGAAACATTGTGACTACATTTCCCTAAGATTCCCACAGGAAAACAGGAATTATCACTTCTGTTGTTAACTTTATCGGCCATACTTTATCAAATTTTGAAATTTTTGTAAAACTTTTTCTTGCCGATTTTCCTAAAAACTGTTGTTGATACTTCACTACAGCTGTTTCGAGTTAACGCTCATCGTTAGGTGATTTTAAAAAAATGTATAAAAACTAAAATTACGATGCGTTTTCGCGATCACAAGTGGCTCGGTATCCGCGTCCGCGTTCGTGACGTGACTGATAACCCTGGCATTCGTTGTTATGTCTTTCTTCCTCACTCCAAGTTATCATGTAGTAGTTCATCAAGGTAGGAGGGGTAATTATTGTTGTTATGGTGCTTTCTGTCTGAGAATTAAGGATGGCTTTGGTTTTGAATCTATCTATTTCGAGTTGTTCACAAACGTTCATTTTTTTGCCCTTTTTGCATCTTCTCATCACCTTTATTTCACATTTTTCAAGAGGGTTTTTTGAATCAATTAAATGGTCAGACAGAGATGAGTGCCTGTATTTCCTGTTCTTGACATGGTTTAGATGTTCTTTGGTCCTTGTTTTAATACTTCTGCCCGTTTGTCCTATATATAGAGAGTCACATTCACATGTTATTCTGTTGATACCGCTCAGTTCTAAATCGTCTTGATTCTAATTTATTTTGCCAGTATTTATGAGAAAGCCACTTAAATTTTTGTCGTTGTTGTAGGTCACGTTGTATTCTTTTTTTACAAGTTGTGTTGTAGACTGAGATAATTTTTCGATGTATGGGATTGATATCCATTTTTTATTTCTATCAGGTACTGTGTTGTACAGTCTCTGGTCTATGCGTTTTGACTTTTTCTTCATTAGGATTTTCAGGATGTCTTCCTACTTGTAGCCATTATTGATTGCAATTTCTTATATGGTGTTCAGTTCTTCATTGTATCTTGTTTTGACTGAGGAATGTTGATAAGTCTATTAAGGAAGCTGTGGAATCCTGCCATCTTATGTTGCCAATTATGGTATGAGTTTTCTGGTATTATCGCATCAGTGTAGCAAGGTTTGCAGTACATGCTGAATTTAAGTTTGTTATTCTTGATTTGTATACTTAAATCGAGGTAGTTCAACTTCTTGCCACCAAACTCTAGTTTAAACTTGATTTTTGGGTGTAAGTTATTGAGCTCCTTCACAAACTGTTCAGCTTCTCTCTCAGAACCTAACCATATGCCAAAGGAGTCGTCTACCAGTCTGAAATATTTGAAAATTCTGTTTCTCCATCTTTCTAAAGTGACTATTTTATGGTCTATATCATCCATAAATACTTCGGCCATCAGGGGAGAGATGGGAGCTCCCATAGGTAGCCCTTCTTTCAGTTTGAAGGTTTTTTGGTTGTATTCAAAGTAGTTGTAAGTGATGGTATACTGGAGGAGCTTACAGATTTCTGATATTTTTTTTCTAGAAAACTTTGAGCGTGTCTCTAGGATGTTTTTAGTTTGCAGCATGGCTGTGTCCCCGTCTACGTTGTTGAATAGGTTCTCTACATCCAAGGATATTAATTTTGCATTGTTAGGTAGGCGTACCTTCTTGAGTTTTTCTGTTAATTCTGCTGAATTTTTTATTGAGTATTCTGCCTTCCATTGGGCTTGTTTCTTAAACATTGAGACTAAAAATGTTTCTAATTTACATGTGACTGATCCTTTGGTTGAGACTACTGGTCTTATGGGTACGTCTCTTATGTCCATAGATTATGAGGCTTTATGTATTTTGACATAACCCTTAAGGACGGGGATTCTAGGGTGCATCTCAATCAATAATTTAGGGTGTTCGGTAAGTTCTTTACAACTATCAACTAGTTTTCTAAATTGATTATTTTGGGTTGGGACAGGATTCTTTTTGCATTCCTCAATTTCATTGTTATCTAAAAAGTCCTTCACTTTTTTATTGTATTCACTCTCTTTCAAGATTAATAAAGAGTTGCATTTATCTGCTTTGCTAACTATTAAATTATTATTTTTGATCTTTGATTTTATAGTTTTTATGACGTTTCTACCACTTAAGTTGCTTCAAATGGTTTCTTGGAGGTAGGTCTCGACTTTGTGGCTCACATTATAGATGGTTGATTTACTATTCACCTTGCTGTTGACATCTATCATAAGATCAATTAGTCTATCTTCAACTTTCCTAGGAGGGGGGCAGTACTTTATGCCTTGGTTAAGGAGTTCTAATTCTCTGTTTGTAAATATTGTGTCCGTAAGGTTGACTATTTTTGGGCTAAAGGAACTACATTTCTGCTTTTTACTCAGTAATTTTTCGAATTTATTATCTTGTTTCAATTTTTTCTTGAATGCTACGTGACTGACTTCTTCATGTGCAGAATCTAAAAAAGAGTTAAGTTCAACGCAGTGAAGTTTATGTGGGGTTTCGAGGTGTTAGTCTACTAGTTAAAAATTTGACTTTTTCTAGAAAAACGATTATGAAACAAAGAGGTAAGTGGGAAAAGAAATTATAAAGCACAATTTAAAGTCAAAGATAGGTATATTAAGAGGTTACGGAAATTCATTCTGGAGAGTCATGAATTTGGGTCCAAACGGGCACAGTTCAAAAAACGAAATTCAACGTGATTAAAGTTGACCGCGTTTAGATTTCGTTTTTTCGTTTTGCTGTCTTTTTCATTAATAATGATCAAAGATGATCCACCCGCGCGTTCACGATTGAAATTATTATTTATTGATTAATCGGAATTATTTATTTTCGTTTAGAAACTCGTTCAACTTTCGAAAATTCAGCTTTAAAAGCCAAAACCTATGACCACCGGCCCATTTCCGGAAAAAGGGCACATAACGGAAAATTTTAAAGAAATTTATCCCACAACACTGAAAGAAGTGTAAGTTTTACCAATGGTCGTTATTCATTCTAGAGTGCATGAACGTCGATATGAGTGCCCATGTCCGATGTGTGTCATCATCAGTGCCCAGAAAGTAAGAATGAAAACTTCAAATGCGTTTTTCTCACAACGCCTTTTTTCGGTATGTGCCCTTTTTCCGGAAAGCTCCTCAATTGTATGACCTTGGAACTGACATACATGGGGGTCCAAGATCCCCATAAAAATTAGTTTGAAATGAATCCAGTGATTTATACTTAAAGTGCTTACAATTTGGTAAATTGTCCCCTTTAATTTTTTTTTCCACGGTAATTTGAGCCAGAGCTATTGTTTCTTTAAAGTAAGTCAAATTTGACTTTTGACCTATCATAACTTGGTTGAAAATTAGGATATTGATCTGCGGTTTGTGCCAAAGATCTCAGTTTTCAATGTTCTTTCCAATGAGAAATGTTTCCTGTATATTTCCTGAAACAAGGAAGAGTATAGTTTCAGAGAGCGCGTTCTCCCGAAAAAGGGCGGATGCGCGCATATGTCCTTGTTCCAAAGAACTCCTCAAGTGCTGGTTTGTATCAAAAACATGTATTTAATCTATTCGACCTATCAAACCGAAGATAGGTGGTGACGTTACCTAAGTGTGGTGTCATCAAGTGACCTTACCTAAGTGTAGTAGTATGGAGTCCGGACTCCGGCGAAGATCCGAAATATTGGACCGCGCACTGCAGAGGGGGTGCCCAAATAAAAGTAGAGCACAGAGTCTGCCGGTGGTCTTTGAATATTTTTCCATGGTTCCGGAATATTGGACTTGGTGTACCTATTTTCTGTGGTCTGTTTGAGGTGCGTGTTGCCCCTCCAATTCCGGGGGGGATACGTCATCAGGAGTAAGTATCGAAAATGTGGGCCTCGAGCACCGGAGTGTGGATTTTAGGGTATGGGAATGTTGATTTTGAGGCGTGTAGAGTGAAATTAACTTTAGTTCAATTTAAATTGAGACCACTACAATCATTCTTCTGCAAGTTCGCTTGGATAATGGAAACGGGACATACATTCCACCCTGATGCATTGCGTGATACAGATTTCAAGCAGATCTCCATCGTGAGGATTTGTTTTAGACCCAACCAGGAGCCTAGACTGTCCATCCTCTTATTCATTTTAACTTGGAATCGAGTGAGAACAGCTTTCTATCAGTTGATTTGAGGAGGATGATGTTTTAACTTTTGAATGTACTAACTATGCCCAAAGTTGCTTAACCTCGGTGATCAAGTGAGGATCGAAGCGGTCGAAGTGAACTCTGCTTATCAAGCAGTTCCGAGCCTTGCGTTTAGCAGCGCGCAGGGCTGTCTTCGCTACTGTGTAACCTTACTACCTCACTACCATTTGCAAGTGTTACAAAAATTGGCAGCAGCTGGAAGGATATTTTCTTTTTTTCCTTTATGGCAGTGGCAGTAATATAGCCCATCTCTTTATCCGATCAAGTTCTCCAAGCATGAATAGAAAGCAAATGTATTATTAAGGTTGCCAATTTGTGCACTTCACGGTTGTGGCCACAGCAACCTTGCTAATACATTCACTCTCTATGAACGGAGAATTTGACTAGATGAAGAGGTGGAATCTTGGTGTAGAATAGGAGATTCCTCCGTTACAGGCTCAACTTTGAGGGCTTTTGGTTGCCTTTTGAAGAAAACCAGAGGCGCCATCATGTTTCCTGAGAAATTGAACATGAGAATAACTACTGGAATCACAAATCCCTGGAGCATGCAAGAGCTCCATTTAATAATAGAAGTAGTCTTTCTCCACCATAGACAAGGATTTGAGAGGAGAACTTACTTTTCAGGATTATCCAAAGCTTTGGCGAAGTACGTCAGTTCTTTTTTCATGAGAAAGCCTGACGCCCGTTGATCAAAACCTTCACCCATCATGGAACTATGTGCTCTGTGAGCTGTACCAAAGGCATCGTTCACATAAACATCGCCTAATTTTCTCAACGATTCTCTGAATGCTTTCACTGCTTCTGATGAAGCTTTGATCTGAAACAGATTCAATTTATTAATAGTTTCTTCAATGAATGAGCCAATTTGATGATTGTAAAAACTTGATTGAACTTATTTAAGACCGTCTTAAGGATTCCACAGTTAAGTAAATAAAAAGTAAAAATAAGAGACTAAATTGAGGAAATAGAAAAAAAATGCTATAAATAGTTGGAATAATCAATAATAAGGCAAAGACGTAACATTAACCAAAAAAAGAAACAAATAAAGTGGAGAAGGAAAATAAAAATGATAGCTAACCATCGATAGATCCAGCAAATTGGCAACACTGTTTTTCCTCCATTTAAACCAGTGGAAATGTATCAATTCTTGAAAGGGCCAGGTGCTCTGACAAGAATCGATTATTTAGCATAGGTTTGAATAGAGAAAATCCGGTGTTGCCAAATTACTAGATCCGCCTCTGTAATTAACAATAAAAAGAAAAGAAATTGTAAAGAGAGCTTCACAATATAAAATATGCTCCGAATCACTGAGTGAGTGAAAAAAATAGAAACGAAAGAGGGAAAAAACCCTTCCGAAACCCTGAAGGAAAAGGAAAGGGTCAAAGTGTTCAACGCAGTCTTCCCCTAACAGGCTCACTGGTGGGGTTTGGCGAATTAAGAAGGTCCTTGAACTATGTCCCCGTTTTAACGTGAAGAAATAAAAAGAAATAATAGAAATCGTTCAAATATTTTAAGACTTAAATAGATAATAGGTTAGGACAAAAAAAGAGAGGAAAAAAACAGGTATAATGAGAGCACAAGGTAGCACAAAAAGACGTAGAGGATCTTCATGCTGCAAAGTCAGAGAAGAAAGGCCTGTTTACACGGTTAGTGTAATAGTCCAGTAAACGAAGCATTTTGATGGCCAAAAATTAGCATACAAGCACAAAATCGTGGATATTATGAAAATTCTCGATTTTCGAACAATTAAATAGTCACTGTTGCCAGGACGGTGCCAAAAGCTCGTTGACGTATTTGACACTGTATAGAAATCTGAATTGGGCCTGCAATAACGCAATGATGCGACAACCCGTCAATATTAAACGTGTAACTGCAGTTTGTAGTTACTTTGAAGGTATCTTGAAGGTTACTTGTTCATCAATGTATCGGTGACCTCCAAAGTCAGCCAAATTAAGGTTTACAGTCCAGTAAACGAAGGCATATAAGGCCCATTTCCGGCCAAAAATTAACGTGCGGCTGGATTTAGGCCCAATCGATTCTATATATGAAAAGGTGTTTTTAGCCAAGAGTCCCTTGCTTGGGGGATTCCGCACGGTGGTCGGATGAAGTTAAAAATTGGACAAATTTTCAAAAATTCATTACGGAGCAAGAAATAAACTTGAAGAGCTCAATGTTTTTTGAAACTGTAGGTAATTGGGTCTATTTTTTGAATAAACTCACTTGAGGTTATTTGGCAACACTGGCTGCAACGAATTGGGCAAATTTTACTCCTCACCTGTTCCATGTGTTTTTGTGTTTTGTTCATGTTTTTACTTTTGAAAACAAGTTTACTACAGTGATTTTTTAGCACTTCATTGATTTTTTAATTTGAACTTTTGAACTTACTCAGTTTTGTGCTTATATACTGGCAAACTCTAAACCTAACCTCAAAATCTGGAATTGTGCACATTTTAAGCGACTCATTACATTCCTTAAACTCATTCAGTTATGTCTACTCGATCGGCGTGCAGCTCCTCTTTTGGTCCTGATGACTTTATAGTATCATGCTTTTGCTGTACAAAGCTTTTTCATGCAAACAAAGAGTGCTCAAGTCTTGGTGCCACAGAGATTCGTGGCTTACAACTAAAATCACGCCAGAATTTGGTCTTCAGATGTACTGACTGTAATTCAGATTCAAATGGATATCCAGGATTGGCTTTTCAAGAATTTTTGGACGATACCTGTCAACAACAACTTGGGTGTTTTAAGCAAGAAGGTAGAAGATGCTCTTTGTGAGTTTGGCTCTCTTCGTGAATCCATAGTCAACCTAACTCTTGCCCTTTCTCGAATTGACAAGATATAAGAGGAACTCAAAGCTGTCAAACAGGACATTCCTACACTACAATCTAGCTCTTAACTCCAAGGTAACTCTAGTGCTATGCCTCACTTAGATGAAGAAGTAATGTCTACCATTATTGAAAGAGAAATAGCAGTGGTTAAGGCAGATATCAAGGAGGAAATTAAACAATCCAAAGCTCATACCAGCTTTCCTCTAGCTAAGAATGAGGATTCTATTATTAATGAGGTTTTAGAAAGACAGCGTAGATCTACCAACATCATTGTCTTTAATTTAAGTGATGATTCTAACCTGGAGACTGATCTCTTATTTGTGAAAGACTTACTAGCCCCTAGTGAACTCGACCTTTCTAAAATAAGGGTATCTAGAATAGGTATTAAGGAACAAAAACAAGGATAAAATTAGGCCTCTTAAAGTAGAACTGTTTTACCGGGTCTAGTCTCTTGGTCTTTCTCTAACATGAAAATATTTCTTGATAGAGGGCTTAAGATAAGTCATGATAGCACTCCTCTGCAGCGCAAGCGTTACTTAAAAGCTAGGGCTGAACTCACTCACCGTATTAGTAGAGGTGAAACTGATCCAGTTATAAAATATACCAATGGTCTTCCTCAGGTAATAAAAAAGAGGAGGGTTAGTAGTCATAACTCAAAAAACGGCAATCCGCTCAATTAACTATTTACTATCAAAATGTTCGAAGCATTAGAGGAGTAAAGAAACTACAAGCTTTATTGATCATTTTAATTGTTCCGTCTTGAAATATGATGTTATTGTTCTTACTGAAACTTGGTTGGACTCCTCTATTGAGGATTCTGAATTACGACTATCTGATTACATCATTTATCGTTGTGATAGAAATACCGGGTGTCCGTAAAGTAACTGAAAAGTGGGTATACTTTTTGAACAAAAAAAGATAGAAGGTCGCGGTTTGTGGCATTCTTCATCATGCAAGAAGGGAAATTTTTTGATGGGAGGGTTTTTTTTGGTGGACTCCCCTGGCGGGCCCCAGGAGGGCATTTTTAAAAATTCAAATAGCAACCCCCATTTCTTTAGACATGGTTAAAAAGAACTTAAAGAGACAAAAAAAAAAAAAAATGGCGCAAAAAAAATTAAAATAGGTTCACTCGGTCAAAAATTACAGCCGGTCAAAATTTTAAATTGACCACTTTTCAGAAAATCGCCATTGAGCTCCAAATTACCGAAAAAACAAAAAAAACCAGGAATGAAAAGTTTGAAAAGTGCCTTTTAGGAAAAGGAAAAACAACTGACGTTGTCACAAGTTTGGATGGCACTGTTTCAAAATAAAATTTCGGAAAATTCAAAGTGGCGGCAAAGAGGAAGCGCAAAAAATGAAAATTTCAGAAACTGTTATCTTTTAAATACACTTTAGTTTAAGAAAATTAAAGGTATCAACTTTAATTCCTTTATTCGGCCAAGTAAGAGCAATAATTTGCTGACTTTAAAGTTGGTGTGACTGATCAAAGGAACTTATCATACTGATTTCAGCTTCGTAAATGGTGTCACCGATCAGATAGTGCATCAGGTGTTACCTAAAAGATCGGTGCCTCAAATCGTGAGGTTGAAACTGTCAATAAGATAATCGCAACTCAGATAATAATCAAGAGTAGAACGGCGTTTTCGGAATTGAAAGCGTAGCAGATAACCTCCTTGCCAACTTGGAGTGCCAGGAGTAAGAGAATTAAAATCATTCTTGGATTTTTGATTTTCAGAGAGAGAAATGTCAAAAATGTCAACCGCCCCTACCCCATCAGGATAAACCATGTTTTTTTTGGCTCGCCAAGTTAGCTGGGGAAAAATTGCACAATTTTTCTTTTCTTCTTTTTTATCGTTTTTGAAAAGGAGGACCTTGAAAATTTCTAAAACATCCCAAAGGAGGAGCGCCTTTTCACATCGGTTTCATTTTTTGATAGCACACTTAATCCTGTGATGTTGCATACTCCAACGATTGAAAGCGCCCCGCTTGACAACTTTAAAGTCAGCAAATTATTGCTCTTACTTGGCCAAATAAAGGAATTAAAGTTGATACCTTTAATTTCCTTAAACTATAGGGTATTTAGAAGATAACAGTTTCTGGAATTTTCATTTTTCGCGCTTCCTCAAATTTGCTGCCACGTTGAATTTTCCGAAATTTTATTTTGAAACAATGCATCCAAACTTGCGACAACGTCAGTTGTTTTTCCTTTTCCTAAAAGGCACTTTTCAAACTTTTCATTCATGATTTGTTTTTGTTTTTTCGGTAATTTGGAGCTCAACGGCGATTTTCTGATAAGTGGTCAATTTAAAATTTTGACCGGCTGCAACTCTTGAACAAGTGAACCAATTTTAATTTTTTTTGCGCCATTTTCCCTGTCTTTTTAAGTTCTTTTTAAGCATGTCTAAAAAAATGGGGGTTGCTAATTGAATTTTTAAAAATGACCCCCTGAGGCCCCCCAAGGGAGTCCACCAAAAAAACCCCCCCATCGAAAAATTTCCCTTTTTGCATAATGAAGAATGCCACAAACCGCGACCTTCTATCTTTTTTTTTTCAAAAATTATACCCACTTTTCGGTTACTTTACGGACACCCAGTATGATTGACTGTAAGAAAAAAACTGGGGGTGGGGTTCCCATCGCTGTTAATAAACAATACTTAAGCTCACTCTTGTTTTCAGAAGCCACTGTTTTTGAACAGCTTTTCGTTGTCATTAAAATTTGCAAAAGAGAACTGTTGTTGAGTTATGCCTACTTTCGCCCCGTATCAGATTGTTCTTGTTATACTCATCATATTGATATTTTCAACACTCTTATTAATAAGTGTCTTTGTGATGATATACTGGTTACCGGAGATTTTAACTTTCCTTATATTGAATGGTTCCTGGCTGATCATTATTTGTTTTTAAGTGGTTCAATATCTAGCCTTAATGTAAGGGCTGCAGCTAACGCAGTTTGTAATTTTGCCAATTCTCACAATCTACACCAAATTAACAAATTCAAGAATCTCTGTGGTAATATCCTAGATTTATTTTTCTCTAATTTCGATTCCTATAATATTGATCTTTGTTTAAATCCTCTGATACCCTCTGACATTTATCATGATGCCTTAGTTATAAGCTTTGAAATTCCTCACAACACAAAACTTCACTATGAGTTCCAATCGTTCAATTTTTTTAGAGGGGACTTCAAACAAATTAATATTGCTACCAAATTTACTGACTGGCAGGGTATCTTTTCTAAAAATTCTGGCTCTATTGATACCTTGCTTAATGTCTTTATGAAAGAGATATCTGTCATTATAAGCCTTTTCGTCCCGTTAAAAACTTATAAAACAACGCCGTTTCCTGCCTGGTTCTCATCGGATCTGGAACACGCTATTACCACTAAGAAAAAACTGCACAAAATTTATGTTCAATCTAGACCCGAGTATGACTTCCTGAAATTTAAAGAACAAAGATCCCTGGTTAAACGTATTCATACTGAAGAATTTAAGAAATTTGTCCATGAAATTGAATGTAATGTCAAGTCAGATCCTAAAAGTTTCTTTGGATTTGTTAATAAATCAAAAACTTGTAACAATATCCCTTCTGACATGCATCTTAATAATGAGAAAGCTGATACAGGTTAAGGTATTGCTAACCTCTTTGCAAAGATTTTTGCCTCTGTATACAATAATAATTCCTTAGATAACTTTAACAAATATTTCTCAGATGATTCTCTTAGTTCAATTCAGGTTTCTATTGCTGAAGTGCGTGGGTCTCTTGAAAGTATCAAAGTTGATGCATCTGCTGGTCCTGATGGGCTACACCCTTTTTTTGTCAAGTCATGCTCTGGAACTATATTATTCCCTCTTTACTTCTTATTCAATGAGTCACTGCACACAGGCTCATTTCCTTCTAGTTGGCGTCAAAGCCATGTTGTTCCTTTTCATAAAAATTCGGGTGATAAAGCTGATGTTCGAAATTATGGACCTATCTGTGTCCAAAATGTTTTAGCTAAATTATTGGATTCTCTTGTATGTAAGAAAGCCTCTTCTTATTTATTTCCTTACATCATCCAAGAACAACATGGCTTCGTGCCAAAGCGTTCTACTGTTTCTAACTTGGCAGTGCTAGTACATAATATTACTGATAATTTTGCCCAAGGCCATGAAACTCATGTAATTTATACTGATCTATGTAAAGCGTTTGACACTGTCTATGTCCGAAGGCTTCTTTCCAAATTAAAAGCTTATGGTCTGATGGGTTCTATTTTGGATTGGTTCCGCTCTGCTCTAACAGACAGAAGACAGGGTGTCAAGATCAACAACTTTCTTTCTAATGAATTTCTTGCTCCTTCTGGCGTTGGGCAAGGATCTCATATGAAAGCTTTTTTATTTATAGTATACATCAATGATGTTGGTTCTGTTATTCGATTTTGTAAATTTTTGCTTTTTGCTGATGACTTTAAGCTTTATAGATCTGTTCTTTCCCTACAAGACTTATATTTCATTCAGTCAGATATTATTAGTGTTACACTTTGGTTTCTTATAAATGGTTTGTCCTTTAATGTTGAAAAATGTGGCTTCATGGTGTTCTGTGGAGGGTCACCTCTCTTTGAGACTTATTCCTATCATATTAATAATGAAGCCATTTCCCGTCTTGATAATGTGAAAGATCTTGGAGTTATTTTTGATCCTGATTTACTTTTAGATGACCATGTTGATTTTATTGTTGGTAAAGCTTATAGAAAATTCTACTTTTTTAGAAGAGCTGCCTTGCCTTTCCAGGATGCTCAGTCTCTTCTCTCTTTGTTTAAGTTTTTAGTGCTACTAATTTTAACTTATACTTCTCCTATTTGGTTCCCTCATACTTCCCATAACATTTGTAAACTTGCAAAAGTTCGCCACAGTTTTTTAAAGTTTGCATCCGATCGCACTAATAGCTCCTTAGGAATCCATGATCAGTTTTATGGAGATATTGCTAGACATCTGAACTTATGCTCCCTAGTCTCTAGATGGCGTTATTATGATCTCATGTTTTTGTTTAAACTTGTTAATAATTTTATTGATTCTCCTATTCTTCTTAGCTACATTCATTTTCATGTTTCTCCGAGATCTTTGCGAAAGGAGGAGTAACGTTTTGGGCCTTTCCCGGCCCCACCTGGATTTTGCTAAATGTTTCATATTTTCAAAGTACTAGTCTTAGGTAGACTCTGTGTCAAATATTAGACCGAACGGAGCCCATGCAAGGGCGCAGCAGCGCCTCAAACCCAAAATCCTGGAATCAAAAAACAATTATTTTCGTCGACTTTTTCGACTGTTATCACTCTTCCAGCACATGAATCTTATGTATTTTTTTGCGTACTTTTTGTTTCTGGCCTTTTAAAAGGCCTCCGATAAATTTTAAGGGGCCTTATGGCCCATTGTTGCCATTTTTGGCCCATTTTTAGGGATTTTTTCCATTTAACACATTCAAAACTCAATTTAATCCTAAAATTGTGTACATTTTTGAAAAGTACGTAAAAAAATGAATAAAAAATGTTCAGTAAAATTTTTTCCTATGTTGCCAAATTTCCGAGAAAATTGGTCCCAAAGTGTCAAAAACGGCAAAAAA